GGTGGGGAGCTGGGGGAGCGAAGGGCGGCCAGGGGTGGGGGCATGCTCCCAGGTGTGCGTTTTGGGGATGGGGTCCTCTGTGCTGCCTGCCCCCACGAGCTGCCTTGGCTCTAGCAGGGTCCCCTTGGCAGCGGGGTCCTGTCCTGCTGTGCAGGTCCCCGAGCGCCGTGTCCCTCGCTTGGCCGTGGGACAGGGTTCACCATCCCCATCTCCCAGTGCCCAGCCGGGAGCACAGCCCTCCATGGGCTGAGCGTGTGGCTGCTGTGCCCGACAGCCAGCGGCCGCCCGCCTGTCTGGCTGCCCCTCCCCGTAACCTGGCATCTCTCCGCCGTCCCCAGGAATGTGACAATCTGTGGTGGGACGCCTTCACCACAGAGTTCTTCGAGGATGATGCCATGTTAACAATCACTTTCTGCTTGGAGGATGGACCAAAGAGATACAGTGAGTAGCAGCCCCAGCCCCGCTTCCCCGGGGCGTTGCTCCTCTGGCAGGAGATGGGGGCTGCTGGCAGGGTGTCGGAGCTCAGCTGCCTCTGGGCAGCGGGAGCTGGGGATCCCTCTCCCCGTGCAGCCCCAAGGCACGCCTGGGTGAGCCAGCTTTAGTGACATTGTCTTCCTCCTTCTCCCGCTCCAGCGATCGGCCGGACTCTGATTCCCCGTTACTTCCGCAGCATCTTTGAAGGAGGGGCCACAGAGCTCTACTACGTGCTCAAGCACCCCAAGGAGTCCTTCCACAACAACTTCGTCTCGCTGGACTGCGACCAGTGCACCATGGTCACCCAGCACGGCAAGCCCATGTTCACCCAGGTACCGTGTTCACCCAGCCAGTTCCTCCCAGCCCGGCGTCCCAGCAGCCCCGGCAGCGTCCCCTTTGCGCAGAGATCCCCTGGCCCCTGTGGGCTCATGGGTTTGGCTTGTGCCGAGTCCCATGGCAGGCAGGGGCAAGCCACCGGGAAAGTGTTCCAGTGCACGGGGCGGGTGTCCCAGTCCGCAGCAGTGGGTTCCCAGGGGGTCCGGGCTGAGGGAAGAGGGGGCCTGCGCCTGACCCTACGCCCTGCTCAGGTGTGTGTGGAGGGGCGGCTCTACCTGGAGTTCATGTTTGACGACATGATGAGGATAAAGACGTGGCATTTCAGCATCCGCCAGCATCGAGAGCTCATCCCCCGCAGCATCCTTGCCATGCATGTGAGTACCGCTCCGGGAGCACCCCGGGGCACGAGTGACCCAGGGCTGCTGAGCTCCTTTCCCTGCTGCGCAGCTTGGGGGGACCTCGACCCTGTCCCCCCATCATGGGGCACGGGGGGGACCGTCCCCAGCCCGGATGGAGCTGAGCCATCTGTTCCTCTCGCTCCTAGGCACAGGACCCCCAGATGCTGGACCAGTTATCCAAGAACATCACCCGCTGTGGGCTCTCAAACTCCACACTCAACTACCTCCGAGTAAGCATGCGGAGAGAGGGGGGGACGCAGCTCTGCTCCTGGGCAGGGCCCTGGGGTGGCCACGTCTCGTGCTCTCAGCTTCCCGGCGCCTGGCTGCCGCAGGGTGCGGGGAGACAGCGGCGCAGGCTCTGCAAGACGGGCTGTGGAGAGCCGGGGGGCAGTGGGTCTGCCGGAGGGTGGCTTCGGCTGGGGCAGCACAGAGGGGCTTCTGCTGGGGCCCGGAGCATCGCGATCTAACCCCGCGCTTGTCTGCTCCCTGCAGCTCTGTGTAATCCTAGAACCAATGCAGGAGCTCATGTCACGACACAAGACCTACAGCCTCAGTCCCCGGGACTGCCTCAAGACTTGCCTCTTCCAGAAGTGGCAGCGGATGGTCGCTCC